TTGATTTCCCTTCTTCTTTGCCAGTCACTCAGTCCTCAGGGGAAGATTAGGGAGCTCTGGGTTCTGAGTGGTGCAGAACACCATGCAGAGGATGAGCAAACCTGTGTGGGTTTGGGGATGAGGCAAGATTTCTCTTCTGATGGGATAGACCTGTGCTTTGGAGTTACTCTCTCTGGAAAGTAGGGGAAGCATGATGGATGCTGGGATGGGTAAAGGAGTCTGGAAGGGATGGTGAATCTTAGATTTGATGATGCTCAAGGTAATATGGATCAATTAATTACAAAAAATGTGGATCAATCAATTAAACTGAGGCCTAGAAAGACAAAGTGATCTGCCTATATTTATTAAGCAATTACCATGTGCCAAGCACCATGCTAGGTCTATGGATACCAATACAGGCCTTGCCTCCAAAGAGCTTATATTGTAACAGGAGGAAGAAACACACGTATGAAGCATTGGCGGTCAGAGAAGGGCACTTTGGGCCAGAAAGTTACAAGGATGGTGAGGGGTGCCATCGAGGAGTAGATTGACACACCTCTTCCAGGAGCACTGGCAGAGTTCACTTGATCATAGTTCCCCCAAGGTCTCAGTGGCTCTTGTTGGGCTGATGGATTTTGTGTGTTAAGTTAATGGGAGAGGAAAAGGGAATGGAATCACAGAATCACAGATTTAGACATGGAGCCAGAGGATTTAGAGGTCATCCAGTCCCATCAAACTCTCTCATTTAACAGATGAGGAAACATTAGACCCAGAAAACATAAGGGATTGGCCAGGGTGTTGTATAGCTAGTAAGTGTCTGATCTGAGGCAGGACTCCCCAGAGGTCTTCCTGACTCCAAATCCAGAGTCCTATCTATTACACCATGCTGTCTCTCCATGAAGGTTCCCCCAAGGTACTAGTGGCTTATGCTAGATAGAGGAATTTTGTATGTTGAGCTAATGAACCAGGCCAAGGGAATGGGAATTGTGATGGTTGAGGCCCTAAAATGCAGAGGGACTGCTTGGCCTTTGTATTCATGTTTCTGGCACCAAACAGGATACTTGGCACATAACAGGTGCACAATAAACGTGACCTGATTGATTGGTAGCTAGGTGACACAGTGGATAGAGAACTATGCTTGTAATCAGGAAGACTTGAGTTCCAATCTAGCCTTAGATGCTTTACTAGCTATGTGACCCTGGGCAAGTCACTTAAACTCTGTGTACTTTAATTTTCTCCATCTGTAAAATGAGAGGATTAGACTCCAGCTCTAAATCTACGATCCTCTGATACAGCCCCAAGTTAAGATTTCCCTCCTTTAACCGTCACTTCTTGCTTCTCCTCCTCTGTCCCTCTTGGGCTGTGGACAGTGCAGTAAGACTTGTGGTGTGGGGCTGAGGCTACGAGAGGTCAAATGTTACCAAGGAGAGGAGTTGGGCCAGGGATGTGACCTGAATTCCAAGCCGGAGGCCAAGCAGACATGCCAGCTCCAGCTGTGTCCTACGGAGGCACCAGGTGAGGGCGTGGGGAGAGCAGCTGCTGTCTTGGGGCGTGAGGCAGGTGGTAGGGATGAGGCTGGTGAATTGTCTCATGGCCTGATTTCTGTCGTCTAGATGGTGACTGTGAGGACAAAGCCACAGCCAACTGTGCCCTGGTGCTGAAGGTGAAGCTGTGCACGCACTGGTACTACCGAAAAGCCTGCTGTGGCGCCTGCCGCGGTAAAGCCCTCTGACTTGTCCCAGGGCTGGGCTGTGACCTGCTTCTTGTCAGGTGGTGGGTGTGAAAGGAAGGATTCCCCCTGTAACCTTCCACACAAAAAAGCCCCTTGTTCCTCTACGATCATAGAGCATAGATTTTGAGCTGGAAGGGACCTTAGAGGCCAACTCCCTCATTTTACAGATGAAAAAACTGAGGCACATTTGCCCAGGGGATTTGAACCCAGCTTTCCCTGACTTTGAGTCCGGCACCCTATCCACTACTCTGTGTTTCCTCATAAACTGTGCTATCTCTCCAGTTTCTGTTTAACTAGCAAGGTCTTGCAGGCATCTATCTCCTTTCTTGCAAACCTTTCCAGGTAAATTACCTGTTACTGTTAATCTCTTCCTAGACCCCTACCTATTTGTCTCTTTCCAAGGACCTTGTTCTCTTCCGTTTCCTTCAATAGCCTGGAAATAATGGAATTGTATTATTTGGTTTTACTGGGCACTAATGGGGATGGTGGCTGCGGCCTGGAGTCACCGAGGGAGAAACACAGTAGGCTAAGTGACAGGAGGAGAGAAAGGGAGGAAGATCTGCCCCTTGTTGCTTCCTGTCCCTTGTCCCCTTGCCCTCATTCCACAGCTTTTGTAACCTTTGGTTGTGAGTCATTTACACATTTTAAAAGTCCTGTTTTGTAATTAAACAATGGATCTCATTTGGGTGTGAGGTTGTGAGTGTGTTTACGGGGAGGTGGAAGGGGGTGAGAATAGATTGTTGTGTTGACATGTTAGAGTGGAAGGTTTTATGGTGGTGAAAATGTTCCAAGTGTGAGGGCGGGGGAGGAGGAAGGGGAGAAGGGGGATCTCAATTCAACTCAACCCAAACCAAAGCAAGCCCTCCCCCTTCAGCGAACCCTGAAGGACACAGGCCAGTGCTCATCTTGTATTTCAAATTCTTAATTTATTTCTGATGTCCGACTTGGATTCACAGCCAAGTCACCGAAGATGCAGAACAAGGAGATGAGACATCTGGAGCAGGGGTAGTGACTGGGACAGGACTGAAGCCCTGCAGTGGTCCCCAGATCTCTTCTACTCATTTAGGATGTGGCTTGAAAAGTGTAAAAAAACCCCACAAAAACCAAATCTGCAGAGGGATTGAGTGGAATTCTCATCCATTGCTGCGGCTCATCCCTACCTAGCCAAGATGGTCCCGGCCTTTTAGCAAACTTAGTGGAGGCAAAGGAGAGATGGTCTAGGACGGGTGGGGAACCCGTGAAGTTTGGATTCAGTCACAGGGCCACACTCAAGGACCTAGAGGGCCACATATGGCCTTGAGGCCACAGGTTCCCCACCCCTGCTCTAGGAGATGTGGTCAGGGCAGGAATCCCTGCCCCAGAGATGAGAGTGAGCCTGGGCATATATGTGAGAGACCTAAGAACCTTCTCCATTCCTGAAACTTCGATTATGGACACCTGGATTAACCTGGCCAGTTAAAAGGAAGAACAAATTAGCACTTAATGGCTTATGACCAAGAGAGGATCCCAGATGAGTTTTGGAGGTGGGAAGGTGCAAGGGACAGTCCCATAGGTTTATATAGAGTCATGTTATAGGGGCATCATCTGGGAGTTTTTTCCCCCAAAGGCAGGAAGGAAATAAAGAGGAGCTCCTTGGCTGGGGGATAGGAGGGCAGAACTACAGAATAAGCAAGGGCCTGGTACCGGTTGGTCAGAGGCTGTTAAGTACTGATTGGCCCAGTGGCTGATGTCGAGGAGTCCTGAAGGGGAGTGCAGGGCTCGACCCTAAAGCCATCTACCTTGACTGGTTCACACCAGGGACACACTAAAGGTGGAGACTCCCCCGAGACAGATATTTCAGAGTTAAGGGGAAGAACACTATTCTCCATAATTAGCAGGAAGTCAGGCCATTTCTGTTTCACTTAGGAATTAAGGGTCTTGCTGGATTTATCTTCTCCTCTGCCCCCAAGGAACACAGGAGTCAGTTGATTATGTCAATCAACACAATTAACAAGAAATGTCAGTTAATCTGAAAATATCTATCAGGTGCCAAAGAAGAATTTCAGAGATGAAAACCTTGTCCTTTTAAAATGATAAAATAAATAATATGCCTCCCACAGAAAGGGGATGCTCTCCTTCCAAGGCCCTCCTCTTCACTCTGTGTGTCCCATGGCAGAAGGATTTTAGGTATTCTCTGCCATGTTTCTTATCACTCAATTGACAACACCGGGCACTGCCCTCCACCTCTGATAATACATGAATTGAGTGAGGTGGGACCTATCGAAGCCCAAAGATATGGGACTAGGAGCATATGAAGTGAGCATTCAATAAGAGTGTGAAGTAAATTGAACTGAATTAAATACACAGTAGGGGCCTCAGTTATTCCTTAGTCCCCAGGCATTTATGAAATTTCTCAGGGACATCTGCTCCAAAACCAACCCCAGTGACAAGCCAGGAGCCAGTGGGAGACCGGGCCTTGGGGACTCCTCAAGAGAGAGCCACAAATGTTGATGTCGCAGAGAGGGGGGTTATGACCATTGTGTAAGGCAGGGAAATCTAACTGCTCAATGAAGCGGTGTCCTTAGAGGGTTTCACAATGGCTGCCTGTCACCAGGGCCTTGCTGGGGTAAGAGCTCCATGAGTGGGGACAGCTGGTGGGATTGCAGGGTTGATGGCTTATTCCTCTGCTTGTGCTATTACAGTGGGTTGTTATGGGGATTGATCTGCCTTAATCACTCAACTCAAATGCTAACTGGAAGTTGCATGTTTAACCCTGTGGAATGATCTTTGTGCACATCATGGCATCTTGAAGGAGATGTGGTAGACACCATCTGACCTTTTGGTGACTGGTGTGCATACATGGGGCCACAGGTCTTCATCCGTTTTTATTTATGGACAATTGAAGGAAAAATCAGCCAAAGTTTCATTTTTTAAAGCCAATTAAATTCTGAACTGAACTGAATGGAAGAAAGGGAAAGAGAGATGGAGAGAGATGGAGGGAGGTAGTGGCTAGACACACACACACATACACAGAGACAGGCAGAGACCTAGACAGAGGCAAAGATAATTGACAGAGAGGGAGACAGATATAGAGACATACACCAAAAAAGGCAGACAGACATATATCCTGACAGGCAGACACAGACCCAGGGTGTTGGCAGAGAGGGAGACTGAGGCACAGAGACAGAAAAAGAGACACAGATAAAAACAAGGTAAGAAGGTATGTTGATTCACCAGTAAGGGTAGCAAGTCTCTAAGGTTTCTGTGTGAAGCAACCAAAAAGAAAAAAAAAATCCTGCATGTTCCAGGACGTGTTTCAGCCTTTTAATAAAACCCTGCCATCGCTAAGTCTCCAAATCAAGACGAGGTGTTTTTTTTTTCAATTTTAAAAAATGGTTTGGCATGATCCAATCCCCTCTGTAAGTCTCTCCCCCCACAATGAGGTCAATGCCACCTGTTGCCCATGGAGAGGTGTAGGGGTAGTTTGTGTGTGACATCTATGAGTCTGATATAAAGGAACTAGTCACAGGGCTTCCTATTCAACTCTAAGTGCTAGAAGTACTCAGTCATTGCAACTATTACAATACCAGGATTACAAAATGATCAAACTAGACATGACTTTTACCTCCATTTTTCCCAGAAAGTGTGCCTCCCCCTCTCCCATCCCCCTGCCAGATCCAAGGCCCCAGAATTCCTTAGCTCCCATCTTCAGAGTTTGCTCAGTCCTTCTAACAAGGACTTGGTTGAGGGCTCCAGGGATGCACAGCTTACCTGGGTATGCCCTGACTCTGGATTCTGTAAAGTCTTAGTGAAGCATGGGTGTAGCCATGGGTGTATTTGTTTTGCACATAGCCCTGGTGAAGAAGCCCCACTGGTTGATACAAGTGGCATTGTAGGTAAAGTTGTAGTGAGCTGCAAACTTTTCCCATCAGGTGAAGGGGTCTCCCTTTCCCCCTCTCCCTTCCTGCTGCAATGTCCTTTCAGTAGTCAGATGCCTGAGTGTCAATGTCACATTTGTTCTCAGCTTACCCATTAACACATCCCAGAGAACCCTATATTCTGTAGCAAGAAAACCTATGAAAACAGATCATCCATGGGGCAGGGGCTTCTCACTGCCCTGCTTTGCTCCAAAGGGGGCAGCAGGGGGTGGTGGGTAGGTAAGGTTATACTTCTGTACTAATAGCCCTTGGATTGGTAAAGGCCTCACGTCCAAGGCCTGGTCGGGTCACCGGGAAACTCTGGAGCGATGACATTTTGAGGGGTGGAGGCCCCAACTCCTTGTAGCAAGTGGGAGTGTAGGTGAGCCTCTCCCCACCATTGGGGACCATGTCAGCTGTCCGTATGTAAAAGGGGGAGCTGTAAGGGGCACAACTGGGACAGTGGCTCTGAGCACCTCGATGCTGGTCAGAGGGCTCACTGGGCAGTGGTGCCAGGTCACCTTGTCCATCCCGGACTTGGGAGTTGCAAGAATTGCAGGTGGAAAATCTTGATGGAGCAGAAAGATCATGTCCTTCTTCCTCTTCTTCATCATCAGAGTCATCTTTCTTACAGCAGTAGTACTGACCAGGAGGGAGAAAGGAAGGTTCGGATTAATGAGCATGAAGCAGTGCTTGCACACTCAATTACAAGCATGCTTCCATGTATGCATGAGACCCACCCCAGCATATGTACATGAGCCACATAGCCACACCCACACACATCAACTCCATATATAGGTGGAGTATGTATATACTTACGGGAAATGACTTGAGAGGCTCAAAAGATTGCCTAAATTCTAAAATCTCTCTCTCACTGTCTGTTATGTAACCATAAATTCTACCACTGGTCACTCTTTTGGCTTAAAACAATAAGACTTCTGTTGAAAATGCAAAAATACCATTTGGGAAAGACAACATTTCAAGCTATCATCATCATCCAGGCTTTATCAGGCATTAGTTTTTCAGATCTAGCTAGCTAGCTTCTACCTAGTGCAGAGAAGGGTCCTGAAGAAGTAAGGGACATGGATCAGGTTAGTTTTGATTAGGAGTGGAGGCAAAAGAGGAAATCAGAAAAAATGTGGAGCCTTGGACATTGTTTGAAGAAGGTAGCCAAGGGCAGTTTGAGGGCTCTGGATATTCAGTGGGGAGAGGGAAAAAGGAAAAGACATAAAGAGGGAGAAGGCATATTGGAAAAGATGATCGGAAGTACCCTGACAACAAATTGCCTCTTTTGCAGCTTGGTGTTGGCCTAGCGCTGACACTCATGCACACCCATGGTCATTCTGGTATGTGAATGCCATTATTTGAGGTGCTCAGTTTCAGGTGCTCACATTCCAGAAAGGCAGAGGCAACCAGTGCTGGTGTGGTTTCCAGTAAAGAAGACATCATAGAGTTGTCAGGAAGTGATAAGTGAGAAAGGATTGTCTTGGAGAATTCCTAACCACACAAAGGAAAGGATCCCTTTTTCAAGGCCATGCTTTTGTCCTGGTCCCATCACTTTGTCCTTAGCCTTTCCCTGAACCTTTCCCTTAGCCTTTGTCTCACTGATTTGGAAGACAATCCAATTGAAAAAACATATTTCAGCACCTGTATCACTGGGGATACTCAAATTCTCAAATGGAGTTGTGACATCATCTATTTCAATATTCCTTCTGATGCCAAGATTGCTTACAATATGCCATTTGCCATCCACTCGTGCCTTCCCATTCTGTAAGCTTGTCCATATGCTTCCACAAATTCAAGGGGATCCAACCCAAGTGCTAGATGTCTTCTTCTTTTTCTCCTGACATCATGAGGATACCAATGGAGTACGTGAGCTGTCCGCTTGAGGAATATGGGGCATGGAAGGGACACTCAGTGTCTTCACTAGTCTCTGGCCACCTTCCTCAAGTGGACAGCTCATGTGTTCCTCTTACATCCTCACTCTCTTCTTCACTATGTGACTATCCCATGTTTTCTTCCTATAGTACATATCTACCCTTATTCTTTGAAGTTTCGCATTGGTTATATGTTGCACTTTGCTCACTAGCATTAGGGTATCTAAGACTTATGAAGTATACCTTGTCCTCAGAAAGCTTATGTTCTCTGAGAAAAAGAGAGAGAGAGCACATATATGTGTGCCTATGTGTCATGTATGTGAGTACAAGTACACACATGTGAATTCAATCAATTCCATCATTTGAATTCCGACAGTACCAATTGGTTGTCCAGTCCCCAAAGCAGCTGTTTGAAAATGAGAAGGAGGCAAGATGACAGAGTAAAGACTGTGATCCAGCTGAATTCTCCCATTATTCCCCTCCAAACAACTTTAAAACAATGCCTCAAATAAAATTTTGGAGTGGGCAGAGCCAACAAAATGACAGAGGGAGACATTTTTCCAGCCTCAGACAACTTAGGAGGTCTGCAGGAGAAGTCTGTAAGAGTAGAGTGGGTGAAGGCCCAAGCCTGGCAGAAGCACCAGAACTGGGCCTTAGAAGCCACCAGGACAGTAGTAGCAGCAGCAGTAATAGCATCTTCAGGAACTCTCAGCCTAGAGATGCTAAGTGGGTTGGACACTGGTCAGAAAGAGATTACAGAGGACCCTTTGCTGGCGTTAGGTGCAGCTGGTGCTGATTGGCAATTCTCTTGCCCATAAATAGTTTTGGGTGGCAGTCCCTGGAAGGAGAGGAATGCTTGTGATTGGTCACGAGAGAGTAGGGGTCCTGGTCATAGTTCCAAAGCCAAAAGGACATTATTATTTGTGGCTGCTGGGGAGTAGAGGACCTTCCTGGGTAAAGACTAGAGTGCAGACCAGGAGAGCAGTGACCACACCTTTCTCAGGATAACACCACCTTGAAAGAACTGAAAACTTGCAGACCCCTAGAACTAGCTCTGAAAACAGCAGCATGAAAAAGCTTGAAGCTTGGCACAATGCTTCCCTGTTCCCTAGTGAGCAGAGCTCAACTTTAACATAAAGTTCAAAGTGAAGAAATAGGCTGGGAAAATGAGCAAACAATGACAACAAAAAAAGAACTTGACCATCAAAGGTACTATAGTGTCAAGGAAAACCAAGAAATAAACTTAGTAGAAGACAATAATGTGAAAACAGTCACAAGCAAAGCCTCAAAGAAAAATGCTAATTCAACTCAAGGCCAGCAAGAATTCCTGGAAGAGTTAAAGAGATAAGAATGGTAGGAGAAAAATTGGGAAAATAAATGAGAGTGATGCAAGAAATTATGAAAAGAGAATTAACAACTTGGTAAAAGAGGCACAAAAATTACTGAAGAAAAGAACTCCTTTAAAAGCAGAATAGACCAGTTGGAAAAAGAGGGACAAAAGCTCACTGAAGAAAATAATTCCTTAAAAATCAGAACTGGGCAAATGGAAGCTAATGACTCTATAAGACATCAAGAAACAATAAAACAAAGTTAAAATAATGAAAATAGAAGAAAATGTGAAATACCTCATTGGGAAAACAACTGATCTGGAAAATAAATCAAGGAGATATAATTTAAGAATTATTGGGCTACCTAAAAGCCATGATAAAAAAAAAAGATCCTAGACATCATATTTCGAGTAATTATAAAGGAAAACTGCCTTGATATCTTAGATCCAGAGGGTAAAATAGAAATTGAAAGAATCCACTGATTGCCTCCTAAAAGAGATCCTAAAATGAAAACTCCCAGGAATAGTGTAGCCAAATTCTAGAGTTCCAAGGTCAAGGAGAAAATATTGCAAGCAGCCAGAAAGGGACAATTAAAAAATTGTGGAGCCACAGTTAGGATCTCACAAAATTTAGCAGTTTCCATGTTAAATGGAGTGGAGGGCTTGGAATATGGTATTCCAGAGAGCAAAGGAGCTAGGATTATAACCAGGAATCACCTCTACTGCACACCTGAGTATAATCCTTTAGGGGGAAAGTGTATATTTAATGAAATAGAGGACTTCCAAGCATATCTGATGAAAAGACCTGAGCTGAATAGAAAATCTGACATCCAAACAGAAAACTCAAGAATAAGGTAAACATGAAAGAATAATTATAAGGGACTCAATGGAATTCAAACTGTTTACATTTCTATATGAGAAGATGATACATGTAATTGCACCTTTCATATTAGGGCAGTTAGAAGAAGTCTTCATAGACAGAGGGCATGAGCATGAATTGAACACGTTGGGATGATCTCCAAAAAAAAAATGTAGGATTGAGAAAGAGGAATGTACTGGGAGAAGGGGGAAGGGAGAGGTAGAATAAGGCAAATTTTCTTATAGTATGCAAGGAAGAGCTTTTATCATGGAGGAGAAAATGGGGAATGGGTGGGCAATGCTTGAACCTCACTCTCATCAGAATTGGTTCAAAGAAGGAGACTACATATATACACTCAGGTGGGTATAGAAATCTATCTTAGTCAAGCTAGGAGGGGAAGGGGAATAAGAGATATGGGTGGGGTAATAATAAGGGGAAGGGTAGATTGGGGGAGGCAATGGTCAGAAGCAAGATAGACTTTTGAGAAGGGACAGGATCAAAGAGAGAGAAGGATAAACAGAGGAAAATGGGATGGAGGGAAATGCAGTTAGTTGATCATAATGTGAATGGGAATGAGATGAGCTAAGCCATCGAATGGAAGCAGATAGCAGCATGAATTGGAAACCAGAATCCAACACTATGTTGTGTATAAAAAACTTGAGACAGATAGATACATAGAGAGTTGAAATGAAGAGCTGGAGCAGAGTCGATTATGCATCAGCTGAAGTGAGGAGGGCAAGAATGCCAATCATGACTTCAGACAAAGCAAAAGCAAAAATAGACCCAATTGAAAGAGATAATCAAAGAAACTGCATTTTGCTAAATGGTACCATAGACAATGAAGTAATATTAAAAATTTTATAGCAAGTTTCTCTAATAAAGGCCTCATTTCTCAAATATATAAAGTACTAAGTCAAATTTATAAACATAAAGAGACATTTACCAATTGCCAAATGGTCAAAGGACATGAACAGGCAGTTTTCAGAAGAAGTCAAAGCCATCTATAGTCATATGAAAAAATGCCCTAAATCACTATTGATTAGAGAAAAGCAAATTAAAACAACTCTGAAATTTCACCTCACACCTATCAGAAATGACAAATGCTGGGGGAGGATGATGGGAAAATAGGTACATTAATGAACTGTTGGTAGAGTATCGAACTGGTCCAACTATTCTGGAGATCAATCTGGGACTATGTCCAAAGGGTTATGAAACTGTACTGGTATACCTACTAGGTCTACACCCCAAAGAGATAAGGGAAAAAGGAAAAGGATCTGTATGCACAAAAATGTTCATAGCATTTCTCTCTCTCTCTCTCTCTCTCTCTCTCTCTCTCTCTCTCTCTCTCTCTCTCTCTCTGTATATATATATATATATATATATATATACATATATGTATATAGATATAATATCTAGCATTTATACATGTATATATCTCAAAATTGAAATTGAGGGGATGCTTATCAATTGGAAAATGGTTAAACAAGTTCTGGCACATGATTGTGAAGAAATGATGAGGGGAGCAGTTTCAGAAAAAAAAAACATGGCAAGACCTATATGATGCAAAGTGAAGTGAGAAGAAATGGAAGATCATTGTGCACGGTAACAGCAATGTTGTAATGACAACCAGCTGTGAAAGACTTGGCTACTCTGATCAGTGCAGTGATCCAAGGCAACTCCAAGGGATGAAAAAATGCGATCTACCTCCAGGGGGAGAACTGATGAACTTGGAGTGCAAATTGAGGTATAATTTTTTTTTTGCTTGCTTGCTTTTATTTTATTTTTTTAGATATGGCTAAGATGGAAATATGTTTTGCATGATTTCACGTGTATAATTGATATAGTGTTTGCCTTCTCAGTGGGTGAGGCAGGAGTGGGAAACAGGGAGAATATGGAACTCAAAACTTAAAAAGAAAAGAAGGCTTTAAATAAATTACACTAAAAAATAAAGTTGGAAGAGAAAAACAAAAGAAAATGAAAGGGAGGCCTGAAATCATCTCTTTAAGCAGTGAAGGGGCTAAGTAATTCTTCCAAGGAATCAAATCAGAATTTAGCCAGAGAGGCTGGCCTAGAGAATTCCTTGTTTCACCCTCATTGCATCTTCCTTGATGCTTTTTCATTCTAATGAGTTTACAATGAAAAACCAAATTCATAGGATCATTAGAAGCCGTTAAGTTCAACCGCCTCATTTTACTATAACAAGAAGAGCTGCTATAAATATTTGTGTATACAGAGGTCCTTTCTGCCTTTAGTCTCTTCTAGATACATCCTTACTAACGCTATTGCTGACACGAAGGTTCATAGAGTACAGGGGCTTTGGGAGGTGTAGTTCAATATTGCCTTCCAGAATGGCTGGACTAATTCATAGTTCCGCCAATGATGTAATAATGTTTCTATTTGCTTGTGTGGTTTTTTAAATTAAATTTTATCTTCCCAAGATCTTTATGCCACCTCCCCTTTCCCCCCTCACTACATTGAGAAAGCAGGAAAAACAAAACCCTTGTTACAAGTGGGAGAAATCAAGCAAAATGACTTCCTGACTTCTTTGGCTGTGTCCAAAACAAACATGTCTCAATCTTCACTCTAAGTTGTATCACCTTCATCTGAAAGTGGGTGGCATATTTCATCATGAACCTCTGGAATCATATTTGGTCATTGTATTGATCAGGGTTCCTAAGTCTTTCGAAGTTGTTCCTTTGTGCAATGTAGTTATTGTATAAACAGTTCTCCTGACTCTGCTCACTTCAGTCTGTATCAGTTCATGCAAGTCTTCTTCAGGTTTTTCTGAATCAATCCCCTTTGTCCTTTCTTATAGCACAACAGTATCTTATCACATCCATATACCATAACTTGTTCAGCCCAGCCACTCTCTAATTGATGGTCATCCCCTCAGTTTCCAATTCTTTGCCACCACAAAAAGAGCTTCCATAGTTTTGTACCTATGGGTGTTTTTTCTCTTTCTTTGAATTTATTTTAGGGCACAGACCTAGTAGCAGTATTACTGGGTCAGAGTATGTCCCGTTTTGGGCATAGCCCCAAACTGCTGTTCACAGCAATGAAGGTGAGTGGTGTTCCCATCTCCACCAACCGTCTATGGATGTACCTATTTTCCCACAGCCCCTCCAGGATGTGTTCTTTTCCCTTTTTGTCAACTTTGCCAATCTGCTGCAAACCCCTCTCATCTTGAAAATTTTAAAACTAAGGCGCAGAGAGTTTAAGTGACTTGTTTAAGGTCTTATAGTTATCTGGGCTGCGATCTGAACCCTGGTCTTCCTAATTTCATGGTCAGTGCCTGATCTGCTATACCCCACTGCCTCTCATTCTCCATGGTGACTCCTATTCCCCTGGGCAGAAAGGTCAGTGTGTTAGCTTTCCAGCTCCATTCCTCCCATTTACAAGAGTTCAATAGTTCATATTTTTGTGCTGGTGCTTTTCAGCTTACAAAGTACTTTCCTCCATGAAGGAGATAAAGTATTATTATTCCCATGTTACAGAGGAGGAGGAGGAGAGGAGTCTTCAGTTCAGTGGTAAATCAGTTGCCCACATTCACATAGCCATCAGTGCATCAGAGCTAGGATTGGAACTCATGTTTTCTGATCATAAGTCCAGCCTCTTCCCCCTGAAGATGGAAGGGAATTATTGATGAAGAAAGACATTGCTGTGAATCTCTGGATGCAGCTTTCAAACAGAGTCTAAAGGTCATGGAAATAGAATAATGCCTTCCTCATCACTCCTGAAATGCAAAGACCATCTAATCTCATACTCTTCATTGAGCACCCAAGGTACCCCAGGCCCTTGGAGAAGACCCTTTCTCCCTAACTAGCTAGGTAGTGCAATGGCTAAAACACTGGACCTAGAGTCAGGAAGACATTAAGTGTCTCAGACACTTAATAGCTATGTGACCTTGAATAAGTCATTTAGTCTCAGTTTCCTCAACTGTAAAATAGGGATAATAATAACACCAAACTCCCAGGGTGGTGGTAAGGATCAAATTATATTGCCTGACAAATACTGCCTGACATATAGTAGGTACCATATAAAGTCTAGCTGCAATTATTATTATTAATGTCTCTACGTTGGTGGTTGGAAGGCAGTGTGGTGTGGTGGATAATCTGGGCTTGGATTCATGAAGACCTGGGTTCAAATCCCATTTTGGTCACTTATTGCTACATGACCTTGGGCAAGTCACTTAATTTCTCTGGACTTCAGTTGCCTTATCTATCAAACAAAGGGATTGGACTTGATAGCTTCTAAGGACCCTTCCGCCTCATCTATGACCTTATGTTTTCCAAAAAGGTGTTCGGGTGGAGTGTGCCAAGCTCAGTGTACTATAATTCCTTCTTGTAAAAAAAAATATTACTGTGTTATGAGCAACACGAAGTTTGAGAACTGTAACCTTCTAACTCTTAAAATATCCCAACCATATCTCAGAGCACCTGAGCTGACTGTACCCAGTAGAAGATTTTTAGCTTAACTCCCAAGGTCATGGGATTTGCTGGAATGAGGCCGGTCTGGGAACGCAGGGAGTTACTGACCTGGAGCCGACAGTAGCACAGGACAGCAATGATGCAGAGTAAGATCACAGTTGCTAGTATTCCACCGGTGATTACAACTGTTCCCGCTGTCATCCGAACGATTCTCCATCAAACTCTGCAAAACACAAGCACAAAGGCCATGGAGCGGTTGAGTCATTTGGAAATAAGAGGTAGTCGCTACTCTGAAAGCCATTGGGATGGATGTTTAGAGCCCACGCTCTACGGGACACAGGAGGGTAAGCCAAGAAAAACTCAAGGTAGAGAGGGCAGAGATAGAAAGAAAAAAAACATTTATTAAGAACCTTTTGTATGCTAGATGCTTTGAAAATATCTCATTTTATTCTCACAACAACCCTGTGAAGTAAGTACTATTATTATCCCCACTTCACAGTTGAGAAAACTGAGGCAAACAAATGTTAAGTGACCTGCCCAGGGTTACAAAGCTAGTAAAGGAAGGGAATAAACATTTTAAAATGCCCGCTATGTGCATCAATCATTAAACATTTATTAGGTGCCTACTATGTGCCAGGCACTATGCTAAGTGCCTGGATACAAAAGGAGGCAAAAGACTCCTTACCCTCAAGGAGCTTACAATCTAATGGGGGAGACAACTTACAAACAACATATACACATATATATACAAAGTGAGTAATTAATATTATGTATTAGATTCTAGGGATAAAAATACAAAGCATGAAATCAATCAATAAACATTTATTAAGTGCCTACCAAGTGCCAGGCACTGTGCTAAGTGCTGGGGATACAAAAGGAAGCAAAAGACAGTCCCTACCCTCAAGGAGCTTACAATTTAATAGGGGGACCAATGTGCAAACAAGTGTATATAAAGTAAGCAATTACTTAATATTATGTTTTGGGAGCTAGGGGTACAAATACAAAGTATGAACCAATCCCTACTCTCAAGGAGCAGGGATTCTAACAAGGGAGACAAGCAGTATGTAGATGAGAATATACAGAATAATTAAAAAAGAGAATGCAAAGAAATACAAAGTAGTTAAGTAAAGATTTAATATGCTTTAAAACTTTGATAAAATTGAATCTTTAATAAGCTTTAAAATGCACTAAGACTTTTGGGACACCCTATACAAGGTAATTTGGGAGGGAGTGCCCTAGCAATTGTGGGGGGAGGGGCAAAGAAATCAGGAAAGGCTGCATGTAGCAGGCAGTACTTCAGCTGGGTCTTGAAGAAGAGAGGGGTGAGGTGAAGGTGAGGAGGAAGGACTTTCAGGCTGGAGAGATGGTAAGCAAAGGCACAGGAAAGGGAGATGATGGAGTATCACAGGTGAGGAACAGAGAGAGAAGGCCAGTTGGGTTTTGGGTCTGATGTGGATATTAAGAAAAATAGCTGCCCTTTATGTAGCCCTTGAAGGTTTGTAAAATACTTTAAAAATATCCTCTCATTTCATTCTTATAACAATGCTTTGGAGTAGGCACCCTTTTTATTAGCCCCATTTTCCACTCTTTTGAGTGATTTGATCAGGGTCACACAGTCAGTCTCACTGAAGTAGGGTGTGAATTCAAGTCTTCGGACTCTAAGGCCAACATTCTAACCACTGAGCCACCTAAGTGTGCTCAACATGTATACCACCCTTTTCTTTTCTTTTCTTTTCTTTTCTTTTCTTTTTTTCTTTTCTTTTCTTTTCTTTTCTTTTCTTTTCTTTTCTTTTCTTTTCTTTTCTTTTCTTTTCTTTTCTTTTCTTTTCTTTTCTTTTTTCTCTCTTCCTTCTGCAGGCAATCGGGGTTAAGTGACTTACCCAGGGTCACAGAGCTGGTAAGTGTCTGAGGCCAGATTTGAACTCAGGTCCTTCTGACTCCAGGGCCAGTGCTCTATCCACTGTGCCACCTAGCTTTCAAAGGGCCTTCAAGGGACTTGTCATTGTCATGGCACTAAGACTTTGCGGATTAGTGACTCTAGCACCCACACAAGTGAGCAATACATCTCTACCTTTTACCCTTTTGGCCATCATCTTTTCCTGGGTTTTTGTCTTGGCCACCTCCCATTGTACTGACTGGTTTTTGTTTGGTTGTGAGCTCAGAAGCTTCCTAGGTCTTTTGACTCCAGACTGGTATCAGCAAGTACTCTCTCAATCATCCTCCTGCTTCCGTACTCTGCCTAGACTTCCCAGGTAAAAAATGGGCTTGTGATTACTGGCTGTGATCAGCACTCCTTACATCCCACATCTGGGAGGTGTTTGAACTCCCTAGCCACTCGCTTCAGTCGCTGCCGCCCTCTGTAGGGTCCTGTGGCTCCTGTAGATTTGTAGAAATCAGTTAACCCTAAAAGGTCCAGGTCCCCAAACTCATATCCTAACTTCTTTCCCTATCAAAGGATAGGGAGGCACACATAGGGAAGCAACATTTGCTAAGGTTAATGCTTCCTATGCTTTAAAAAAAAGTGATTAAGGCATCTATAACTCTTAACCTAGATGTCCCAGTGCAAGACATAGATACTATGGAGGTTCAAGTTAGAAACATGGGTCCCAGGTACAACAAAATATACATAGTAGTACTTTCTGTGTAGCAAAGAACTGGAAACAATGTAGATGCCCATCGACTGGGGAATGGTTGAACAAATTTTGGTACACAAATACTGGAATGTCATTGCTTTGTAAAAACAAAGAAATGAACAATGAATATGAAGAATTCAGAAAAACATGTCTTAAGGAGAGAGCTCTCTGCCTTGGGAGGGGGGTGGGAATCTCAGCTTCAGGCCCATTCGAGTCTGTTCAGCAGTTTCTGGGGGCCCAGAGCTCAGAGGAGGTTGAGAGTCCTGTAGAGTTATAGCCTATTCGTTACTGGTTTGAATCCAGGCCAGACAAGTTGAGAGAGACAGAGAGAGTGAAAGAAGCATAAATGCTAGAGGTTGCTTAGAAGGCGGTTTTAGGTCATGACTCAAGATCAACATTTTCAGGCTTGCCGACTAAGCACATTCCAAGTAGGATATGCTTTCCTAAGGAGTTGAGGCTGAGGGCAGGGAGGATGAGGCAGCATGCCTTTGATCCTCAGCATTCCAATACTCCTCACCTTTTCCTCTTTCACTGCCTGCTCTATATCCTGGTATTCCCAGGCTCTGGGGAAGTTAATCCATCTCTGGAGCTCTCACCCCTATGGCCAGTTATTTTGTGACTGGGTGTGTACAAACTAGCCCACTGTGTCTACTGGCTGGCCCTAGGCACTGGACCACATCTCACCTCCCATCCAGGCATTCACCATGTCTTTTACCTCTTAGCACAGTGACCAGCACATTAAGTCTAGGCACTTGATAAATGTTTATTGATTGATCTTTCCATTTCCATTGTCATTGTCACCAAACTAGTTGAAGTTTCTGTTATTTCATACCTGGAGAGCTGTAAAAGCCTCCTAAATGGTCTCTCTATGTTGTCCTCTTCCTTCATCCGATTCATCCTGCACACTATTGTCAGTCCTGTCACTCTTCCTAGAATACCACTTTTGTCATGCTACTTCCAACTGCTTGTGAGATAACTTCCAAACTTCTTGGCTTGACCCTCAAGGCCTTCCACAATTTGGCCCAATTCATCTTCAAACCATTAATGCCCTCCCCAGAACCTTGGTGCAAATACCCTCTATGCAATTAACTAGATGCATCTACTTAATGTCACTCAACCATGCCTTTGTGGGCTTTTTCAGGATAAGAATTATACCTATATCACTTTATAGATCTCATAGGACCTAGCACAGTGCCTTGTACATGGTGCACGCTCAATAAACATTTGCATTTGCTGGGTGCCTTGCTCATTCCTACCTTTCTGTTTTTGCTTATGCCTTTCCTAGGATGCCTTCATTCGTTCAAAATACACTTATTAATACCTACAGAGTGTGCAGCACTGTGCTAGATGCTACAGGAGATCCAAAGCTAAGATAAGACACTATCTCTGCCCTCATAGACCTTACAGTCTAACAGAGGAATAAAACACAAAGAGAGGTTCCCATAATATGTATTATTACATGATAAACTATATAGGTGTAAACAAAGCCCTCTGTGAAATCTGGGATGGGAAGTCATTACTTCCTTTTTTCTCTCTACCTGTCCAAATCCTTCTCATCCTTCAAGTTTCAGCTCAAGTCCACTGTGAAAAATTTTTGACTGTCTCAGTCCCCAAATAGTCCCTCCCTCAAATTTCCAAGCATCCCCCAGCATCTCCAAGTTCCACTCATTTGTACCACAGAATATTGAGATAGAAGAGATTTCAGGGATGACCTGGTGCAGTGCCTCATTTTATAGATTATCCAATTGAGGCCCAGAGATGTGGAGCAACTTTGTTGAAGTTGTGCAGATAAGAAGTATCAGGGATGAGATTTGAACTCAGGTCTTCTGATTCTAAATTCAATGTTTTTTCTCGGCCACATTGATAGCCTAAGTGCTATGTTGTTATAATGCCTGGCACACGTACACATCTCCCAGCTAGAGTATAAGTTTGTTGAGGGCAAGGACTATATCTTTAAGTTTTGTGTGCCTCTCCCCACCTCCCCGCCAAGGATCTAGTACATCGCACATGGTAGGGGGTTCAATTAAGAATATGTTGATCGTTCAGTGGGTACTTCAGCACTTTGACCAGCTCATTCCCTATAGCTCTTATCTACCACCAGAGGGCAGCAAACACTGCTTTGTCTGGTCAGCTCCCCTCTCAGAACTGCTCAGCTCCAGATGTACCTCTTCTAAAAGCAGGATGGGACCATTTCCCAATAGCAGTGGACCCAGCATCACCCTGGGAACTATGGGGACCCGGCTGATTCTCAGTAGCGCTGAGAATAACAACTGGTGCTTGGTGTAGTTCCTGGCACAAAGTAAGCTCTTCTGTTTGTTGACCTAATAAAGGGAATGTAATTCATGGCATGCAGCAGAGCACTGGCATTAACCCTTCAGAGTCTGCTCCATAGGCTGTGGGTGTAGATGAGGCAGGAGCAGGAGCAGTATACAACCATAACATTAGTCCATCCCATCCCTACCTAGTCTTTATTAGGGGTGCATCCAGAGCAGCTAAGCCACCCCAGAGAATTGTTTGCAATTCACCTGATCAGGAGGCAGTTTTTTTCTAGTGCCCTAAGGGATGTACTGTCCCTTTCGTACTCTTCTTT